GAATGTGTAATAATATTTTTATAATTTATCTTTCGTATATTTAACAGTATATTAAAATTGATTTTTCTATAACACAGGAAAAAAAATTATTATGCTTGATTATAAAAACTGGTTCTACTATGAGAATATTAAAAAAAATCAACCAATTGAATTGATTAATTTTAAATTAATTTGAATAATATTGAATAATATATGTATATATTCATTAATATTATATATCAATGCAATATATATAATATTTATAATGATACTTGACAATAATAATGACAATGATAATGACAATAATCATCCTCTCTTTAGAGGAAATATTTATATAATAATAAAAAATTAAAATTTTAAATATATTAATTATTAAATAGATTTAAAACAATTTTATAAATATTTAAAATTTAATTTGATTTTTTACTAAAGTTATAAACGTTCTATCTACAAACAAATCCATGATCACGCAATCATTGTTATATGCACATACTAAAGTGTGACGTAACGGCATCACAATATTATCATAATATTAACTCTGATATTGTATATATAGTTAAATAATTTTGCATTAAAATATAATAAATTACATTTATAATTATATTATTCAAAAATATTGTTTATATTATAAGAAAAAGAAACATATATTTTAAAAATATATACGTATAAATCACAATGAACATGCATATGCAAGAAATCATAAATATAAAGAATTTATTCTTTATAAATAAAGTAATTACATAACAATTTTTTTCTTACCATTAAAAATAATTAAATAATTTTTAGATGCAAAGATAATTTTAAAATCTGTCAGTGGAAGATTACGATCTGGAGAACTAACAGCTATTATGGGGCCTTCCGGTGCAGGAAAATCTACTCTTTTAAACATTCTGACCGGATACAAGTGAGTCCTTATATTTATGCAAATTCTGTAATGTATTCATTAAAAAATTAATGTTCGTATGTACATAATAATTCTATTTTATTATATATATAAATGGGTTTTTAATAAATAAATCGAATAACACAGATTCAAGAATAATTCTTTCCGTTGTCAATTAAAGGTACTTTTTTCTCAAATATTTTCATTTTCTTTCATGATTTATTATTTTTGCAATTTTTATAAAAAAATTTTTCAATATGATAGAAAAATATTCAACGATGTTAATTATCGATTTGAATAAGAAACACGAATGAGTTATGATAGATTAAATATGATGATCCAGGATCATTATTATAATTATTATTATTCGTGTATTCAATTTTATTTTTAATGTTTTAATAATTGTGTAAATTATATATTAAAAAAATAAAATTTTGATATCATATGAAACATAATAAAATTTATCATTACTTTTTAATTCATTTTAACAAAGAAGAATATATTACCTTTTTAGCATAAACGATTATACATTTAAAAATAGTTGAACTGTATGCTTAGGTCAACAAATACTGAAGGAAGTGTTACAATAAACGGCCATGAAAGGGATCTTAGTGCCTTCAGAAAATTATCATGCTATATAATGCAAGATAATCAACTTCATGCGAATTTAACAGTGGCTGAAGCCATGAAAGTCGCTGCAAATCTTAAACTTGGATCGCATGTTAATAAAACAGAAAAAGAAGAAGTGGTACGTTTGTTTCATTTTTAATATAATATCTATAAAAAATATTCTTAAATAAATGTTTTATTTTGAAAATTAGAAGAATAGTAAAAAACAATATTAACTTTTTTAATCATATTATTTGTGTTATTTAGATTCAAGAGATTTTAGAAACACTTGGTTTATCCGAGCATCGTCAAACTATGACATCGAATTTGAGCGGTGGACAAAAAAAAAGATTATCTATTGCTCTTGAATTAGTCAATAATCCTCCGATAATGTTTTTTGACGAACCTACTAGGTGAGCAAATCTTATATATATGTTCAATGAAGAAAAAAAAAAAACAAGAATGTTTTTGAAATGTTTTCATGTATTCATTTGTAGGAATTATAAATTTATATTAAGAAAATATTTTTTCTTCTTAATAGATCAATGCCAACCAACTTTCACTATCATTAATGCTAAAGAATCTTGTTTTCTGTTTGTGCATATACATATAGTCTATATTTATGTATAGTATATATACTATATCTATATTTAATAAATAATGGATATTCTTTGAGTTGAATTTTTTCTAATAAAGACACTTACAATTATATTTCATCAATTTGTAATTTTATATATATATATATAAAAATTATATGTTATAAACAATGAAATTAACGCGTACAAGTTAATTTCATCAAACGAAGAAATAAAAACATGAACTAAGAGAAAGTATACAACCAATCTTGAAGTTTTTGAAAGTCCTTGCTTTCTCGCTTTCACTAAAATTATATATAACATTCTTTTTTAAATATCATAATTGTTTTTATTTTTGCATTTACCGAATTCATCAATTAATTTATCATTTGTATATTCATCTTGATCTTTTAAAAATTAATTAAAGCTTTGAAAAAGTGATTTTTATAAAAATCTATTAGAATTTTGTTTTGCGATTAAGGAAAAAAACGAGAGATCAATTTATTTAACAATTATTTAATAATAATAAATGTATTTTAAAAATTTAATGAAAGAAAATACAAAGTTTTGCCTCATTTAATTTTTTGCATTTTTTTCATATTGTAGTGAAAATATTGCTGAATAACATATATACAGTTTTTATTAATTTACAGTGGTTTAGACTCTTCGTCTTGTTTTCAATGCATCTTGCTCTTAAAGACTTTAGCTCGAGGCGGAAGAACGATAATATGTACTATTCATCAACCTAGCGCTAGACTTTTTGAAATGTTCGATACGTTATATACATTAGCTGAAGGACAATGTGTGTATCAGGGATCTACATCACAATTAGTACCGTTTCTTAGAAATATTGGACTCAACTGTCCAAGTTATCACAATCCAGCCTCTTTCAGTAAGTTATTTATGATATTGAAGTATCTAACTTTTTTAAAACATTGATTTCAAAATATTGATAATTATATATTAATTTTCAGTCATTGAAGTATCTTGTGGAGAATATGGAGATAATATCAAAAATTTGGTAAATGCTATAAAAAATGGAAAATATGATATTCGAGAAGGACATCCATTTCCTGAAAATAAGTTGGAAGAACTCAATAATTTACCTGATTCGTTTTCAAAAAACGAAGAAGGTGGAAAAAATACTGAAAGAAAAGATAAAAATGATGCAAGCAATTTGAAAGAAAAGTTTGAAGAAGATAAAATAAAAAAAGAATTAATAATAAAGGAATTATTTCATCTTACGCAACTAATGATATCGCAAAACAAGGTAGATAAGAAAATTGAATAAATTATTAAGTAATTTATAAATATATCAATTATTTTTAAATATTTTGTTATCGTTATTGTCTTTTTATAATAGATGTAGTAATACCAATTGATATGGAAAAGAAGGATAACGCTGATGTGGCTTTACTCGATGATTCAATTATAGTCACTCCAGAGAGATATCCCACGTCGGAATATCAACAGTTCTGGATTGTTTTAAAACGAACTTTACTTTTCAGTCGAAGAGATTGGGTAAATTAATCAATTCAAATTTTATTTAAAGTCTTTAATTTTTTTAAATAAAAAATTTTACGATTCTAATATTATTTCCTTTAGACACTTATGTATCTTCGACTCTTTGCTCATATTCTAGTAGGATTATTGATTGGCGCACTTTATTATGATATTGGAAATGACGGTGCTAAAGTACTTAGCAACCTTGGATTTCTGTTCTTTAATATGTTGTTTCTTATGTATACATCAATGACTATTACAATCTTATCTTGTAAGTTATATTTTAAAAATATTTTTATTTATCCTTTTGCTTCCTTGATTTGTAATAACATTTTAAAATTTTTCTTTTCATAGTTCCACTAGAATTGCCAGTACTCCTGAAAGAAAATTTTAATAGATGGTATTCTCTCAAGGCTTATTATCTAGCAATTACTGTATCAGATATACCATTTCAGGTAAAAAAAAAATAATAATAATTTAATTTTGTCAAAAATGAATTAGATTTTTTTCTATATGTACAATTTTATATGATCTTCTTACAGGCAGTATTTTGTATTATATATGTCACAATTGTATACTTCATGACAAGTCAACCAACAGATATTATGCGATTCAGTATGTTCTTGGGAACATGTTTACTAATTTCTTTCGTAGCACAATCGGTTGGATTGGTGGTTGGAGCAGCAATGAATGTACAGAATGGCGTATTTTTAGCACCAGTTATGTCCGTACCATTTCTTTTATTCTCCGGCTTTTTCGTTAGTTTTGATGCCATTCCGGTATATCTTAGATGGATTACTTATCTGAGCTATATTAGATATGGCTTTGAAGGGACTGCTCTTGCCACATATTCTTTTGGTCGAGAAAAACTTAAATGTTTCCAGGTATAATATACTCTTTTCATACTTTTTCTTTTTTTAAATTTCATGTAAGTTAAATTATTATATCATTTAACAGTATGTCTTGAATGATTAATTTAAAATGATTTAAAAAAATTAATTTAAAAAAAAGTTAGTTAAAATTTTGTTTCTACGTATATATACATATATAAATATAGTATAAAATTGCAAATAATACAATAATATTTTATATACACAATCTATATCAGCTAAAAATTTGCTGGTCTAGAAATCTTGATTTCATTTTTCAAAATGATTCAATATATTTTACTTTTTTTTTTATTATTTATTTTTTATTTACAGGTATACTGCCACTTTAAAAACCCAGAAACAACATTGGAAGAACTAGACATGCTCGATGCTGATTTCACTCTCGATATTCTTGCCTTGCTTTTAATATTTGTTGTTCTTCGAATCGCTGCCTATTTGTTCCTTCGTTGGAAATTAAAGACTGCGCGATAGATCGATGTACAATTATTATCAATTTAAAATGTTAAAATACTTTTATAAACAAATGTTAATGGAGTAAGGTAACAATGCATTTTCTTACCGTCATCGTACAGTAAAAGATTAATAATCTTATGTTTTAATATCGAGAATTATTTTCTGTTATATAATTTTTGATTATCAAGACAAGTTTACATGAATACTAAAATATAAAAATATTATATTCATATAATATATATATATATATATATATATATATGTTTATGCAAATCAAAATATTATCTATCTATAATTTATAATATTATGAAATAAATATAATTTATTTGTTTTTATTAGTTGTACGATGACAATTCCATAATGGTTGTTGTTACGATAATTATTAAAATCTTTTGGATCCATTTTGTTATATTATAATATATTACAATATGTATGGTGATCTCAAGTTGATCTTAAGGATGTATTACCAGTTTTAAAAGAGATAATTAGGAAAGAATATAAATGCATTTGATGCAAATGATTTGAATGCATAAACGAAAAACTGATCAAACTATTCTAAAACTTCGCAAAAAAATTTTATTCTTTGAAAATAAGAGGCCTTAAATTAAAACATTTTGCAAGTAATCATATTTTTATCTGCCCATGGCTGTGAGTTTGACGATGCAGATAACAGAAAATAAATGCAATAATATATATTTTTTAATTTTAACATGGACGTATAAATCGATGTTTTTTAAAATGATATTTAAAATATTTTAAGAATAATATTTAAAATGATAAATATGTTTAAAAATTTTCATGTTTAAAATCATGAATGTTAAACTTTGGTAATGCATCACGAACATCGAACTTAAGATTTAGAATAAGTTTATCAAAATTTTATATATATATCGTATACATTTTAATTAATGTATTTCTTGAGCATAATTTTTTAAGGGAATTTATTGTATACAAATATAAATCATATAAAAATGTACAACAAGAATAGAATTTTCAATTTTGGAAGAACAATTTTATTGTCAATTCTTATTTAAATTATATTTTTCACTTTTAAAATGTGTTAAAAATTATGATTAATTGTTCATGCACAAAATAAAATTAAAATATTTGATTTATAGTATATTAATAATATTCATTAACTTGATAAATGTACTTTAATAAAAGATATGTTTATATCTATTTATATAATGAATTATAATGAATTAAATGAATTATATATATTTATATAAAAAATGATTACGCAATCGATATTCGATAATAATATGTATCATTATATCGATATCCAGAATATAAGAATTTTTATAATAATGTAATAGTAGAATTTCTATAATTTAATAATGCCAAATTATTAAATTATTAAATTGTAGTTTTAATATGATAATAAAATAAAAAAAGTAATATATAAAAAAAACAAAATTGATATATAATAATGTAAATTATTAATAAATAAATAAATATATATATATATATGTATAAATATATATAAGAAAATATAAAGAAATAATATATTATAAATATATTATATTATAAATATATTAATATGAAATACGTAATATGAAAAATATATATATATAATATAATATGAGTCATGATGATATTACAAAATGATATTGGAATTATGCGTGCCGGATTATGGAAATTCTACTATATATATAATTTTATATATACATATACATAAAACTTTTATAAAATATCATGCGTATAAATGCGTGTAATTGTGCTAAATTGGCATAATGTTCGTTGTATTTAATAGCGTTTGTTTCTTACAAATAAAATTGTTTTTCATAATATTATTAATTTAAATATTTATCATGTATCGCTAAGTAAAAAAGATATAAATATATATATTTTTTCATTTTCAAGATGAATTTGTGAAATCATTTAAATTTTTTAAAATTAGAAATTAAATTATAAGTTTGTTTAATCATAATTTAACCGATTTTATGGAATAGAAGAAAAGAATTCCTTATTTATTTTATATAATTATTATTATGAAATATTTATTCAATCACGAATGTGGCAATTTAGAATTCAAGAAAATATATTACAGTTACATTTAAATCTTATATAATAATCTCACATAATAATTTTTTTTGCATGACGAATCACAATATAATCGATATAACGCAAATGAAATGAAACATAATGATACACTTATTTTATTGCAGTACCAATTACTTACATTAATAATTAGATAACATATTAGAAAAGATATTTATTTCAAATTGACAAGAAGTACTTATTTTAAAGGATTACATGTTTATCAATATATGTATATTTATTATGCAATATTTGTTTAATATTAAATTTAATATTAAAAATATTAAAATATTAAAAAATTTAATACTAATAAATAATATATACGTTAGTTTTACGTTATGAAAAATATTTAATTCAATTTTATTATAAAAAATAAAATCATAAAAATCATATTATTCTTTCATAGAAAGTTTACAGAAAACAAATATTTAAAAAAATATATTTATTTATATATGTATTTCAAAGTCCAGAGCATGCGCGTAGATTTCTATGAACCTACATATACTTATAATTGACATATTAGTATGAACTAATTCGGTACAGTCTGTTATTTAGTGCAGTTTGTTATGCTCATTAAATTTAATTAATCCGTGTTTCATATCATATTTTAAGTTTGTCTCAAATTTAATAAATTGTAACTATAAATACATTAACTAATAACCATAAATTAATTTATTGTAAATAATAATAATTTATACAAATTATAAAGTAAAAAGAAACTTTTAAAAGCTTTTTTGTGTTAAGATAAAAAATACACGATTAATACCTATGCGAAATATTGATAGATATAAATATATACGTATGTATGTATAAATATATACGTATGCTTTATATGAAATGAGAAATATTTATTTTTAACTAACAAAGTCATTTATTCATTCTATTATCCATTATTTTATTTTTTATTTTATTGCAGTTACCAATTACTTACATTAATAGACAATAGATGATTTGCAAATAGAGAATTTTTTTCTTTCTTTCTTTTTTTTTTTTGTGAAAAAAAAAGTAAATATTTGATTAATGATATTGAAATAATATCAACAATTGTTTTTTATTTTATTCATTATTATGTATTTCGATGTGTTATCGTATCGCATCCGTACAACAAACATTGTGCATGATTCACATTGAACTTTAAGTATGCTTTTTAATTCTTTGTTACATTACGTCATTCATTTTTTATTAATTTAAAGTATCATATAAAAAGACTTTTGCTTATTGAATTAAAATATGAATAAAAAAATGTTAATTACATCAAGATGATTTATACATGAATATAATGATATATAATAATACCATTGTGATAGCAGCCGACACAATTATGTGTGTACAGTGCAGAGTGTCGTTAGGAATAGGGAACATAGTAAAGTTATTTTAGCGTCAGTCTTCAACCGCGATTTGCCGTGCACCAAGCTTTCAACCGTTTTCACGGATTTTTAAATCTTTTATCAGTGACGCTTTTATGAACAAGTAATTGTGCGATTTAATGTGTTATCTTAATTATCATACATTTATTAATTCTCTTTTCTTATAATTGATTATTCATTTATTTTTTTCTTTTTAAATATAATGGCATAATTTTTTTAAATATTTCATTCATGAAAAATTTATAAAATATAATCGTCATTTCAATTGCAAAAAGTTATCGATTTTTTTAAAAAAAATTATTTGAAAATATTACTTACGAATTTATTAAAAAAATTTAAAGAAAGATTTCAATTGTTTAAAAGTGTTATAAATAATAATATAAACAAAAGAAAAATATAATTTTTTTTAAACTATAGATCAACCATGCTCACAAAATCAGAATTGAAGGTAAAACAAAGCAACGATGGAATGGATGACATCTCATTATCATTATTATCAAATTCCAAAAAAATGGCCTCTATTAACATCGAATTTAATGACTTAACTTATACAATACCTTATGGTAGAAAAGGTACGATACAATATAAACTATAGTATTTGTTAAATATAATGAAGAAAATTAAAATTTTACTGTTCAAATTTAAAAATTTGATTAAAATTTTATTATATTAAAATTAAATTTTGATATTTATATAATGTAAAGGAATAAAATAATTTTATTCATATTATTATCATATCATTTAATTAAAAAACATTATGTATTCTTCGTATAAATCGAAAAACTAAACGAAATTTAAAAGTTAAAGTGAAATTTAAATTTCAATATATTCAAAAAAAGAAGGAATGGGAACATTATTCCTAGGATTACGCTAGAATACAAATACATTTTACATATAGAGAAAATTTTGTAAATTTTGAATAAAAAAATTTTAGTATTTTTTTCCTGTATTTTTTCTAAATTTCCAGTATTTTTTATTATCATATTCATTTTAATCATTTCAATACCACTAAATCTTTTTGAAAAGAGTTACAAGAATATTTCAATATTTTATATATTTTTTTTATCTTTTTCAAATTAAACGCTTGAAATACAAAAATGATATAAATGCTATTATTTATGATGAAAAATCTTTTTAAAACACGTTATTCTGCAAATGTATAAGGAATTCCTATAAATTCCTTTATAGATATTTTATTAACTAATATTATCGTATTATCTCGATCGATACATAAAATAAATATAAGATAAACATGCTTGAATATGAATATATCTAATATATGGGAATAAAAATATAATACTGCATAATTTTATTATCATCAATATTATAAATCAATTTAATTATTAGTTATTATCAATAATTATCACCAATGAAAAAAAAATATTTTTAAATAGAATAGGATGTTAAAATAATTATCTTTATCATACAATAAGTATATTTCATGAAATATTTAATAAATAACGTTAAAAAGGATTATAATTAATATTTAATTAATATATATATATATATATTATAAATCACTTAATTAGTAATATTATTAATTAATAATCAAATCAGATAATTTATATAATTTGAATTTAATTCAACAATTTATCTTTCAATTTAAATATTATCATTTGAATGTACTAGATTGATAATAAAGTATATAATTCATTTTTGTATTCAAAATAATAATCAGTGTGTTGAAGATTGAATGTTTGCAAATATACATATGAGAGATTAAGATTATATTTCTTTTAAAATATGTTTTATATTAATATATCTATCATACATATTTGTCATGTTGGATATGATTATGCGTAATAAATATAAAACTTTTATGTATTTTATTACAATAAAAGTGATAATATATCTTTAATCACTTTCGATTGCATTATTGAAATTTTAAAAAATAAAATTTATATGAAGTGATTACATTTTTTTGTTATTTATGTGTCATAGGTAAAAAAGTGATATTAAAGGGAATTAGTGGACAATTCAAATCTGGACATTTAACGGCTATATTGGGCCCTTCAGGCGCCGGAAAATCCACCTTATTAAATATCCTTGCCGGATACAAGTAACGTTTCATCAGATCAAAATATAGAATTAATAAATTTATCAACCAATTGTTATAAAAAAAGATTTAATGTAATAATTATATATTTTCTTTTATCATTATTGTTTTGTATATTTTTTATTGCATTATTAAAACCAAACTATTTTATATAATAGTCATAATTGACTATTATATAAAATAAATTACTTATACAATACAACTAAACATTTAAGTAGAAGTTTATTACGTGAATCCTAACATCGTCTCGATCGATAGATTAGCAGTTCATGCATAATGTAGTACAATCAACAATCTTTTTATTTCCTTTAATTTTTTTAATTTATCTCAATTATTTTTTCGTTATTCAAAATTAAATCTAACGTTTACAGAGCAATTGGCCGCGTAACAGGACAAATAAATATCAATGGACAAAAACAAGACGTGGAACACTTTAAAAAAGCGTCATGTTATATCATGCAAGAAGACCTTCTTCAACCATGGCTCACGATACAAGAGACAATGCAATTTGCTGCGGACTTAAAACTTGGCAATATTTCTCAAAAAATGAAATTAAATACTGTAAGCATTTTAAACGATCTGTACGATATAGAAATAGAAAATAATTTTTCTTTCATTCGATGTGTAAAAAATTAGAGAAAGATATTTGATTAAAATTGTATATATTCTTTTTTTTACACGTTTTTACACGCATGTTTGACAATTAAGAAGCATTTGAAAAGAAGATATATGATTTTAAAATGAAAGAAATCATTTTTTTTTCTAAAATAGACTAAATATCACATATTTATTTAACGTTATAATATCCTCTTAGATCAATTATTAAGCGTTTGCATGATTTTAGATAGAAGAAATTTTGAATATTTTACGATTACATCATGCAAGGCACACAAGTACCGAGCATCTATCGGGTGGCGAGAAAAAAAGACTCTCGATAGCTTTAGAACTCATAAACAATCCGCCAGTTATATTTCTCGACGAACCAACTACGTGAGTAATTTTTAATTTCGCAGCAAAGAATAATGAAATTTCAAACAAACGAATCAAATATATAATTCGACAATTTTAGAGGATTAGATCAAATATCTGCTACGCAGTGTATCGAACTTTTAAAATCTTTAGCACGATTAGGAAGAACTGTAATTTGTTCCCTTCACACTCCAAGCGCAAGCATCTTCTCGAAATTCGATCATGTTTACGTTTTAACCGCCAATGGCCAATGTGTTTATAGAAGTACTACGCACAACTTGGTACCATTTATGCGACAGATTGATATCAAATGTCCAGAGCATTACAATCCTGCCGATTTTGGTAAATAGCAAGCTTTTTAATCGCTATTTTTTTTAATTGCAATTGCGTAATTGAATTCACTAATTGTTTGAAAAATATTATTCGTTTTCGTTACAGTATCAGAAGTGGCAGCGGGTGATTATGGTTCAGAATGGATAAATCGAATGGTAAATGGTATAAACACAGAATTTCCTATTATTCCTATCTCTCAACAAACGAACTTCGAATTTCAAATCAATGCGACGATATCAAAAGTATCTTGGTTTGAACAATTTATCATTCTATCGAGAAGAAAGTTTTTACAGTTACGTAGAAATAAGGTGCAAAAATATTCAATAATAAAAAAATCAAAAAAGGGAAGATTTCACAAGAGATATCTAACAAAATCTTTCATCTTTTTCAGGATTATATGTATTTAAAAATATGTTTACACATATTCGTTGGCTTTATCATCGGCGGTTTATTTGTAAATATTGGAAACGACGGATCGAAAATCATATATAATATTGGCTTCTGTTTAGCTTGTTTAATATTTTTACTTTATGTACCAATGTTACCGATATTAATGCATTGTAAGAAAACAACAATTATAAGAGGAGAATTGATGATTCTTGATAAAATAGATTTGACAAAAAAAAAGATAAAGATATTTAATAAATATAATTATTATTTCTTCAATACGCTATTAAAATATTTTCATTTAAAGCTGTTTAAATCATACAATATCCTCGATTGTCTTCTATGTTCTTATTTAAGTTTTATTTAAGTTTTTCATTCACTTATATATATATATATTTTTTAAACTTACAGTTCCCACAGAAGTGAAATTGATAAAACGAGAATATTTTAATATGTGGTATGATTTGAGTCCTTATTATTGTTCGTTGATCATAATCAACATACTTACACAGGTTAAAACACTGAATTTTATTAAAGATAATAAATATCAATTTTACAAATCATAATATAAAATGAAATAATTTTTTGATTTTTATTAACATTGCAGATATTAGTATCATCGATATATTTATCAATAGTATATGTGATAACAGATCAACCTCTGGAGTTTTTTAGATGCGCTATGTTTTATAGCACTGGTTTAATATGCTCGTTTATAGCAGAAAGCATAGCATTAGCTATAGCCAGCATATTGAACATCGTGGTACGGACTCATAATATATTATAATATTGCACTAATTATAATTATATTAAGAAGTTCTGATGTTAATATATTTTTTAGAATGGCATATTTGTCGGACCTGCAATTTCTGTCCCCTTAATGTTGGTTGCTGTACAAGGAATTGGCGAAACAAAAGCTTTACCTCTTTATCGACAATTGATAATGTATCTGAGCTATATTCGCTATGGTTTAGAAGGTCTTATAAGTGCCTTATATGGTTATAATAGAGGAAAGTTATATTGTCCACCTACAGAAATGCTATGTATATTCGGGACACCTCGACAACTTTTGCAAATAATACGTAAGCTATTGGAATTATAGTAATGTTTCACTAATAATGCAAAATCCATATTATTGTTAAAATAATAAAGTAGAAATAGAAATTTTCGATAAATATCTCCTCAGTTTCGTTTATTTCTTAAAATCATCTATAAAATGAAAATGAAATATATATCGAAAGTGAAAAATATCAAATGTGAAATAAAGAAAAAGATTCGATATGTCAGTTGTATATTATATATATTACATGAATTAATTAAAATTAATTCAAATATAATCGTATTTAATATTAATTTTCATTGGAAAATTTTAATAATTTAATTACTTAATTTAATTGTTTTTAATAATTTGTTGATAATCAATGAAATATATAAAAATATTATCTTTATCCTACTTTGATGATTCATTGCTAATTAAAAATAATATAATATAGATGACTCAAACGAGTCAAATGAAGAATATTACAACGAATATTTGCTACTTTGTTGCATCGAAGCAATTCTAGTTGATAAAAACGCGATAATTAATAATAAAAAATATGCGATAATTAGAGAAGCATTACTATGTATTTAAAATTATAAATTTTTAATATGGCATGCTTATTTAAATGCAATTTTTAAATTCTGATTTTAGGTATAGATCATGTGGCTTTTTGGATTGATTTTACTGCGTTAATAGTTATCTTTATTTTTTTACAAATTCTCACTTATTATTTACTCAAACAACGACTTAGACCGAATAAAATGTTTCAAACACTTTTTCTGATTAAAATGATAATAAAAAACCATTTTAACATCGTTAATTAAAATTTTTAAACTTAACAGTTTTATTTTTTGTAATAAACTTATTACTTTTTAAAATATTAATTTTGAAAAAAATAATTTTTTATTATCTATCTCTAAATATAATAAAAATTATAATAATGTAAAACATTGAAAATCTATTTCTTTGAAATGATATGAAATGTAATTAAATAAGATGTATACATATAATATGTATATATACATATATATATAGGATGAAAAAATAAAATTATTAAATTTCAAAATTAAATATAAAATTAGCAAAAATCTATTCTATCGAAGTATATTTTTTATATTATAAGTTAAATTTAATTTTGCAGATCAGGAGAGATGGAGATAAAATGTGACATAGACTTGATAAAATAAAAAGATATGAACTTACATGGACGAATTGAAATAGAGAGATATAATTATCTTATTCTATTTCAGTTATCTCATTTTATCTCTGTTTCGCAAAACTGCTTGTAATTTAATAAAGAAATCTCAATCAACATTTTTATGTTTATTAAGTTTTTTATTTTGGTCTTTAAAATTAATTCTAAAAATATAAATCCTGTCACAAATTAATTCTTCAAAAATATAAATCCTCTCATGAATATATTAACATTTTTTATCTGTATATACATGTATAAATATATAATCTATGACATTTGTAATAAAGGATTTCTAATTTTTTAACATTACATGAATTTTATGTATACACATTCAGGATTTAATATTGATTAGATCAGGTATTTAATAAGTATAGTTAAGTAAAAAAAAAGAGTTAATAATAAAAAAATTATAATATATATAATAATAATAAAAGTGTTATGATATATTAAATTTTTATTATATTCGATTTATGATTTCAAAATCAGTAATGTGTATTTTTATAATTTTCTCTATATCATTTTAACCTATAATTGATGTAAGCATATATATTGTTTTTTAAGCAAAGTTTAACTTACTTCGTAAAAACTCATTAGAAGTTAAAGAATATTTCTGTTAAGATTTTCTATAAATATATAATAATTAAGAAATAAAATATTTTAAAATTGTGATAGATATAATATGCTTGCAAAATGTGTTTAAAATGTTACTTTTAGAAAGTCTATTTAAATTACTGCATTCTTCAATTAAAAAATAAAATAAATATTATAATAAATAGAAAATATAATTGACAAAAAAATTAAACATAAACGCAATTAACTTTTATATTTAACAGAAATATTTAAAATAAATATTTTATATAATGAAGCAAATTTTTAATATCTATATTCTATCTATATCTATAAATCTACTGATAAAAGTTCACGATTCATTCTCAATATTTTTTGATTATAGATATTATATATATAGAGATTGAAATAAAATCATAAAAATTTATTCGAGCGACTAAATAAATAATAAATCTTATATAATCTTATTTTATCAATATTTTCTTTTATTTATAAAAAGCATTAAAAATGTTAAATTGCAAAAAAATCGCTATTATTTTATTTTTATTTTTTATTGGCAAAGTAAATAGGTAAGTTTTATTTATTAAAAATATTCGATAATATTTTTATATTACTTAAACTTATTACAATATATTACAATATATAAACTTAGAATAGATTTAACGATAACTTTTTAGAATTTTCTTTAATTTTTTAAACAAAATTATGTTTTCATATTATTATTTTTATTATTAATGAATAACCAATACAATTTCGGAAAAAATTTTACATGTATAAATTGTTTTAATAGTAAGAACCATTGGAATCGAATACCGAGATCAAATACCAATTTCGATGTTTTAATTTTTACTCAACATTGGCCTCAAACTGTTTGCTATACATGGAAAGAAGATTCAATATCGAATACGTGTTCATTACCAAAAGAGCATAATGAGTGGACGATTCATGGTATTTGGCCATCTCGGTATTATGATATTGGTCCACAATTCTGTAATAAATTATCATTCAATTCGACCGCATTAGAACCATTGAAAGAGAAATTACAAGAAAAATGGATAGACATAAAAAAAGGAAGAACTTCTTATTCGTTTTGGCAACATGAGTGGGATAAACATGGTACTTGCGCGGTAGTATTGGAACCATTAAATACTGAAAATAAATATTTTGCAAAAGGTTTAGAATTATTATCAAATTATGATATGAAAAATGTATTGGCAAAAGCGAATATCACTCCTGGACAAATATATAATAAAACAGATATTTTAAATGCTATTGAAAAACAATTAAACAAACAAGGAATATTAATTTGTCATGAAAATAAGGTAAATAAATAAGAATTTATTTTGTTCATCAATATTCAATAATTAAATTTAATATAATAAAAATTATTTTAGCATACTGGAGAATCATATATATTTGAGATACGAATATGTTTTAATAAAACATTAGAATTAATCAATTGTACCAACATTTATGAATATCCTACAAATTGTAAGTCTGAAAGCATAATTTATCCCGAAAAAGTGCCACACAACACAAGTACAATAATAAATAATAATATAATAATAAATTTCATATTTATATTTGTATTGTTTTATAAATATATATAACAACATAAAAGTATAAATATAAAATATATGTAAAATAAATATAAAAAAATAAAATATAAAATATATATAATTTTAAAATTTAAAATTGATGTAATATTTGTTTTATATCCGAAAAATTAAAAATTTTAAACATTTAATATTTTTATATGTATATTTTTTATTTTTATTAATAATTACAAATAGAGATTGTTTTAATAATAAGAGATGTTTTAAAATGATTTCTTTTTCTAAACAATTTGTATAATATTTTACAATGAAATATTAGTTTAAAAGTCATATTGCAAATTGTATGACAAGTAATAATTGATATTTTAATCATTCCACTTTTTTTTGAACAATTAAAACTGCAGATGGTGTTAAACCTAGAATTATAATCATAATAATTAAAAAATTAATGTTTGTACCATATTATATATATTACAGTTAATACAAATATTATAAATTGCAATAGCATACCTAATGCATTTAAAGGAGCTTCATAATCGTCTTCTGTAAAAATTTTCTTAGGAAAATTTGTCATTAAATTAAATGGACCAGGAGTATCTGTCCTATTAAGTTCTACAAACAATCTCACAGCAGATAACTTTTCCTTACTTCCAAAATTTTGAGTTAATACTTGTCCATTAGTAAGTCTAATCTAAATTATTAAATAATACCATATTATTCAGACATAACAATTAAAATTATATAATCATAAATATGTAAATTATTACCTGTAATTTTGTATCATTATATTCTTTCCTGTAAATATTGGTGGAAGATGAAGGTGTTGAAAGAGATTCTGTTACTATTTTTTCAGCATTAGCTTTAGCACGTCTAGCAGCTTTATCAGCTTCAATTTGTTCTTTAACCCTTTGTCGTGCTAATTTCTCTTCTTCTTTTTCACGTTTCCTTTCTTCTAACAACTTCTTCATTTCTAATTCTTCCAATCTATAACATTGAAATATATATAAATATATAGTAATATATATAAATGAATATGTGTGTGTGTGTGTGTGTGTGTGTGTGTCAAGAAATTCACAAATTCAATTTACTTTCTTCTAGCTTGAGCCATCTCTTTTCCTGATTTTATTCTATTTTTTTCTCTTTCTTGTGCATCTTTTTTTTCTTGTTCTTCCCTCTCTTGTTTTTTTTGCTTTAATTTTTCTGTTAATATTCGTAATTGCTCTTTTTTTTCTTCATCCGTAAGAGGTTTTTTCTCTTCTGTACTTTCAGAGAACCTATCATGTCCAGATTTTGTTGCATGGAATTCCACCTCCAAATTAGATTTAAACAATTTTCCACAGCTATTGAGTAAAAAATTAAAATAACTATGTTATCAATATTAATTCATATAAAATATTAATATATTTACATATCACATTTCATAGATTTAGCAACTTCAGTAGTAGACACCTGATCACTAGCATCGGTAATATTTTCTTGAACTGATGTTTGAAGATTAGACGCTGCTGTACTTTCAGTGATAGGTGGTTCAGGTAATGGTTCAGCATCATTTGAATGAGCCAAGAGCCTAAAATAAAAATTAAGATCGTCATCAGACGATGAGAATGAAGTCACGGCCTTTCTCGTACCATTCCATTGCCGGAACAACTCCTTTGTTTCCAGTAATTTCTAAAGCTTTTTCCCTGCGATAAAATAAAAATGAATATAATAAAGGTTATATTATATATTAATTAAAAAATTGCCTTAAATTCTTACGCTTTAGATACGCTGAAACCCATATCGACTAGCATATTTATATCACTTGACGACATTTTATTTTATATTTTCGAATTGCTTAATGAATATTTTTCACCAATAAAATAATATTCAACATTCGAGCAATCAAAAACTTAACGTCACGTTCAACCGACGCGCTACCTATGCAATTTTATACGTTGTAAAAGCTCACTGGTGAAATCATTTTACCGGAAGTCGCATACATCTAAATTTTAAAAATATAATTAATATATTTGAAAAATATATTCGTTAGAATTTAGAAAAAATACAAAAAATATAAGTAAAATAATATATAAAATAAATTCAAAAATTCGGAATTTCAAAGAAATATAGAGTAATGATGTTTTATTTTCACTCTAAATATTGTTTACAGTCAACAAAAACATTTAATACATCAGTTTCCATTTTATATTCATATTTTATAAAATATCACTAAGAATTTAATATATGATCAGAGGGAACAAAACAAAATGAATATAATAATGACAATAATTAAATAATAAATCTTAAGCATAAGTCAAAAAAGAAATGTATCTTAAAAAAAATGCACTTTACTATTACATAAGCTAAATAAAAAATATTATTTAGTAATGAAATAGTAGACTGCACTATTAATTAAGATTATTCACAGTTTATATTGATAGAATAATGATTGTAATTTGATAGGTTTCAAAGGTTACTTCTTATTTTTTTTTTTTTTTTTTTTTAATTAGCTCAAGAAACAAAGGTATAGCCCTAAAGTATTGTTAAGTTAGAAATATTATTCTAAAGATTATTAATATTCCTGGGATGCTTTGTCTCCTTTTCCAGATCCACCAGTACCAGTTTTCTTCGGCAAAAGTACTGCTTGAATGTTAGGCAGGACACCACCTTGAGCAATCGTTACACCAGAGAGTAATTTATTCAATTCCTCGTCATTGCGAATAGCTAATTGCAAATGACGTGGAATTATCCTGAAATAAAAACAAAAGTATGTATATTTAATGTAATATATAGTATTTATAAATTATCAATTAAAAACAGTATTTTATATAAATAAATGATATTAAATATATTATATTATATAATAATGTGGAAAAAAAATATCATGGAGAAGCAAAAGTAAAGATAGATAAATAGAGTATGTATAAGTGAAAGAGAAAGAGATAGAAAGAGAGAGAAGGGCTTGCTTCACCAACCTCGTCTTCTTGTTGTCTCTTGCGGCGTTCCCGGCTAACTCGAGTACTTCAGCCGCCAAATATTCCATCACAGCGGCCAAATAGACAGGAGCTCCAGCTCCAACTCGTTCTGCATAATTTCCTTTTCTCAAAAGACGATGGATTCTTCCGACAGGGAATTGCAGCCCTGCCCTACTACTACGGGTCTTCGCCTTTCCCTTAGCCTTTCCTGAAAGAATGTACATAGAATGGTTTATAGTTTTCAATAATTTACTTTAACACGCTAAATACGATACTTACCACCTTTACCGCGTCCAGACATCTTTTAATGAATTTTCTTAAAACTTTTAAACACGAATAATGAACGATGCTTCTCCTTGCAATACCAAACAGCGAATGAACCTCTACCCTATTCGACGACGGTTATGCGTATGTACATCCGATATTTTGGCGGCGACAGTTAGGTCGGCGCTCGTTTGCGCGGGAACGTTATTTCTACATCACATGTACATGTGGCGCCGCCAATCTAATGTTAAAATCCCTAGATAAAATTGCGGATAATTTTTCTAAAATATAATATACGCGTATAATTGTACATTAGATAAATAGATATTACGTTTTCTAATTTAAATTATTCATTTAATATAATATATACTTCTTTATATTCGTAATTTTTTACTTCTTTATATCAATTTTTATATGGTACACAACTTCATATTAAAAATTGTACACCCTGCAGAAAATAAGCGCGTCTCAGAATATAGAGGGCAGTACTGAACATGAAAATAATTAAAATTTATAATTGCTTCAACGTATAGAATTATAAATTTGAAAAAACTTTATGAATATTTTAAAAATATCTGCTCTTCGTTTCATTAAAACCGTTAGAACGAAATAGTTATAACTATATTTAAAATAAAATAATAATTACTAATCGCAATTGAAAAATCGTTATATTGTTGAAAAAATATAATAATATAGAAAATTATCTATACCTTATATATAAAAGGAGAGGAAAAAACAAAATACTCAAAAAATTTATATTTTCAACAATTTACTCCTAGGCTCTTGTTTTGGCCAGATCAGAGACCAACAAATATCTTGTGGTCTTCTTGTTTTGTTATACAATACATAAAAATAATGATATTTACAAATGTAGGATAACGTTAGGCACTCAATGAACAAAACAGTAAAATTATAAATGTATTCGTATTATACATATTGGAGGTATTACGATGAATAGTTGAACGATATACTCGGAGAGTAGAGTGAGATACAAGTATTAGGACATGTAAGCATTGATTTAGTTGAATGTAGACGAAAAGAAGAAAAAAAAAAAAAAAAAAAAAAGAAAAGAGAGAGAGAAAAAAAAGAAACAGAACTTTTGCAACGAAACGAATTTTATTCGCTTTTTAATATTGTTTGCGATCTGATTACTGTTCGAACTTGGAATGTTGGAGGTCGGGTAACAAGCATATTTTTATGTGGAATGTGCTCACGCGATGTCTCACGTTTTAAATTAAAACAATTTAAATTAAGTCACTTTAGCTACGTAAGTACCTCACTGCAGTTGTTACATTAATTTCTCTTGTTAATTCACTGGCCTTTGTGTTCATTATTGTGAACAGTGGACATCGAAAGGAAAGATCGATCACTATTCTGATCTCTTGGAATCAGATGTGATTTTCCTGTATTCTACGAATGTCCGTAGACTAGAGTTGTTTCTATCTCGAAACATTTTTTAAGTTAAAAGTAATCGTTACGATTCTATAGTTTTGTACCTTTTTTTTTTTTTTGTCATTCAGATTTATTGTAATCGCAATCTGTGGTTTCGTAGTTTGAATGTATTTTAAAATTTTTGTTAACACAGAGCTCACGTACACTATTCCCATTTAGGATGCAAAATGAAAAAAAAAGTTACAGTCTATATATTGGAGTAACTTTTCGATTATCAATAAACCGATTCAACGTCGCGATTAGTTGTCCCCTCTCTTTTACACCAGATAATATTAACGATCGACTCATATACAAATTCATGACATATCATATTGTTTCAAGTTATTATCTGACATAGAGTCCACATTACGCAGAATAAAATAAGTTATACGATTTGTCTATTTTTCATTAAAATATTATGATACAAATTACAATTATTTATAGTTTAGAGTCTAAGAGCCGTTAGTTAAAACTATAAAATCTTTATTAACTACTTCAGTCGTGAACTAAGAAGTGCATGTATATTTAGATATAATTTTTACAATCTTCTTACACACTCGTCTCATACGTTGTGCTGATATGAGGATCATTTACGAAATATAAAGGTGTGTGCTTCACGACCGATCGTAGTATCGATCCTGTTGCTATTGTTGTAATTTTATATTCTGCATTATATGTATAACGTCATCTCGTGGTATCCATTTGGTCATTAAAACCGAAAGGCTGCTTTACAATTGGTCAATAAAATTGTCTCATCTCGAATTCTCGCTTGTCTAAGTATCAATTATATAAGATTTTATATTTGGTATTGGTATGCTAACGACCCTTAACCCTTCGATAATATCACAGATGAATGAGTTTCCGTGTTGTGCGTTACGCATCGCTACCTAAGGTTCCTAACAAGTGCGTTAATTCTTTCGATTTTCTCGCTCAACATCCGCCTTTCCGAATCAAGAACTGTTCTCGCGGATAAAAGTTCGTATATCCTCCGCTCTAGATGGATGGTCTCGGAACGTAAGTTGTTCGATTGTGCCACCAATTTTGATGTTTCGCTCGTCAAAATTTTCTTTTCTAATGCTTTTTCTGAAACGAGAAGAGAAGAAAAAAAAAAAAAATGAAAAATGGAATAACACAATTAATGGATGGTTTTTCTATGAAACGAGTGAAATGGAATCTCATACCTTTGGAATATTCGCTATAAGCAAAGAGAATGTCCTCGATGCCGGTCCATTTAGATCTTTCTCTCTTTCCATCCACGTAATCTACATCCACGTTCTCATCCATTATCTTCATATCCATAATCTTGCAATGCTGTTTCACCCCATTTTCACCGGGCATAGGCAAAGAGGGATAACCCATCGAGACAATGTTCGGAACCAAAGGTGGTAGAGGCGGTGGTCGTTCTGGAACTTGTTTCACTTTTACTCTATCCAAAAGCCTCATCTTTTGCGGCGGTTTAGGCAATGTTGGTGGATTCTTCGAATACGCCCTGGCAATTCTTTCGCAATACGCAGTCACGGAATTGGAACATTTCCGTTTTTTACGATCTTGGAGAACGTATTGCCACGTTAATTCTGCCTCTGTATAGAATAAATTTAAATTTTACAATTGTAATTTAACGAATCGAATCACTTTTTGTACGATCGAGCGTTCACAAGATTACTTTTTAAAGTATACTTGCCATCTCTCCTGTTCGGAGGCATTATATCAAGGCCTATAGTCCTGAGAAAACCAACTTTCGGCTCGAAATCTGGTGTATGGAGTAACACGTCCGGATGTTCCCGCGGTATTGGTAATACAGATTCTACCACTTGTTCCGTCTCCAAAGGTACTTCCGGTGGATCTGGATTTAACCTGTACCTCTTCTCCACTTTACAAAGCTCTATTTCTATATGGACGGAGCGAGAAAGAGAGAGAGAGAGAAAGAGAGAGAAGGCAGATGCATAAGTGTTAACGTGTGGACGAATGTAATGGGGGGGG